TCAGTTCTCCTGTGCAGGGCAACAAAAGAAGTCCCAGCCAATCAGCTGGAACTCGGGAAGCAGAGAATAGATGGGGGCAGGGCCAGTCAGAGGTGGCATTTGCCAGTTCTCCGAACTACTCAAAAGTTCTGCTACTGGTTCCCCAGAACTGGTCAGAACCTGCTGAATACCACCTCTGATCTCCAGCAAGGTTAGTCTTTTTGACTCATATTGCCCTTAAAGTGGATGCTTACTCTAGTTCTACACCTCAAAGTCTCATTAGAGGTACTTCTTTATGCAACTTCTCTTCTATCACATAATCACTTAACCTGCACCAGGAAGAAAGGCTGGGACTTCAGAGCCTCGTCTTGCTAGTCTATCCCTTTTGTTTTGACCACACCAGGCTTAGTGAACCACATGTTTCCACCAGCCTGTCAGGATCCTTGCAGTAAATTATAGACCTGTTTATGTTCCAGAATAAACATGAAGCAGTGGCAGAGTCAGCTGTGATTGGATATCCTCATAAAATCAAAGGCGAAGGTGGGTGAGTCAGTTTGGCTGCTAATAACTGCTATTTCTCTAATGGACTCTGCTTTCCCTAGCATATGGAATGATCATCCCACATAATTTTTTTGCATAATGCATATTTATTGCATGCTTGGGATAGGCTCCATTCAAAGCCTTCATGTGGTCATTTCATGACAACTGAAGTGAAGATCAAGCTCTCAAGACTTGGCTGAGAGATGATAACAGAATTTATTTGCAGTAAAATCTATAGTAAGAAAGGGAAATCTATAGTAAGAAAGAATGCTAAAGCATGAAGTTGCATATCTTGATTCTTACCTCACAGGACAATAACAAAAAAATGTTCCAATAGACTTATTTAGAATTTGTATGAATGGTATGAGTTAACCAGCAACTCAAAAGTAAAATTAATAATAGTTCTTACTTCCTACTCAATATCAGCCAATGGGGGATTCAGCTTCTTGCATGCTAAGGGGACCATTTTGGTGTGAAAGTCTAATTTTGATGATTGTTTATTTTGCTCTTCCTTTTTTAAAAAACAGGCGCCTATGCATTCATTGTGCTGAAAAAAGGCCTTAAATTCTCCCAAGAGAACCTGGCTTCTGAACTCCAGAGTCTTGTTTCAAAAGAGATAGCAAAATATGCAGCACCAGACCATGTTCAGGTAATAACAGGCAAACCTTTTTTTTTTCCTAATGCACATTTTCATTCTGCCCAACAATGAAAATTTGTAGTCTGACAGAAGGTAGAACCTTTTTAAAAAATGTAGTTGGAGCCTGCCTTTAGTATTTTTAAAAATAACTGAAGGTGACAAACATATCCAATGCATCCTCCTCCTCCTCCTACTTTCTCCACAACTCTGAGGTGGGTTAGACTGAGAAAGTGTGACTGCCCCAAAGTTGCAAGAAACTTCAAAGCATTTGGATAACCAATGCAATTTTTTGCAAATACATCTTTAATGTGCTTGCAAAAAAAAAAAGTCTAGTATAATCTAATTCTTCTGCTGTCATTGATCATTTGCTCAGAATATTTTAGATTTGCTTAGTTGTATGATTTGCATTCCATTGATTAGCCAAACAAAACAAACTATAATGGTTTCAGTATTAAAACAAAAAATTAAGTAGGAATGTTACCTTCAGTATCAAGCATATAAAAGAAAAATCAGGTTAATTTAATGAGTATCTAAAGCACTTCAAAAGTATTACAGCAGGGATAGAAATCTTATAGTGTTCTGCCCAGTGGTGGGATTCAATTTTTTTTACTACTGGTTCTGTGGGCGTGGCTTGGTGGGCGTGGCATAGCTTGGTGGGCATGGTTTGGTGGGCGTGGCAGGGGAGGGATACTGTAAACTCTCCATTCCCTCCCCACTCCTGTGGGAAGGTTACTGCAAAATCTCCATTCCCTCCCTACCCCACTAACCTCCTTTCCACCTCCGTTCTCCTGTGCAGGGCAACAAAAGAAGACCCAGCCGATCAGCTGGGACTCGGGAGGCAAAGAATAGATGGGGGAGGGGCCAGTCAAAGATGGTATTTGCCAGTTCTCCGAACTACTCAAAATTTCTGCTACTGATTCTCCAGAACTGATCAGAACCTGCTGAATACCACCTCTGGTTCTGCCTATTCTAGCTTGGTTTTTATAGGTTAAATAGACTTGTAGCTATGAAATGATTACATTACTAAAGATATTTTATAAACACATAAATGCTATTGCAACAGAAATCAATCTTTCAACAAATTTATTTAAACAAACCTAACTTTTCTATTTTTTTCTGGAATTACTTAGTTTGTAAGTTAAAAAAAACATACTATTACCAGGTTCATACATGCTGACCCATTCTTTGGTTACTTCACTTGTGGCTTATGTACTATATGAACCTCGCCAGAGTTTATGGCTCAGTGTGTGGTGTGTTTCCAGCTAATTATGGCTTAGTCAACGATCTATGATTAAGTAAACTATGGTTTAAAATGTGTGAATCCAACCAGAACCACAAGGAAACCCCTTGTGGGAATAAATCTTTTCATCAGACTATAGAACTTCCCTGATTTTATAACCATTAACTAAAAATTTCTCTAGACCTTAACTTTTATGTCATCTCAAACCCTTGACTTTTCCCATTTTCTTGTTAGTGGTTGGTTCACTCTTTCCATAAACTTCCCACTGAAGATTATGATGTCAGAGGAGGCCCTTATACAAATCCACATTTGGCTTTCTTTTATTGGAAAGTTTACTGAGCAAGTAACCAATTTAATTGAGATACTGATTTTACTTTTTTCTTGGCAACCAATTCTGAAGTGCTAAGATGCACCAAAGAAAAAGTATCATAGCCTCAAAACACCTTTTTTTCTGTTACCATTGTATGCTGGTAACTTGGTAAGAAATGGAATTGAGCAAAGCCTCCTACATTTGCACATACAATGAAGAAGACATGCTCAACTACATACGTCCGCAGGAAAGAAAGTAGGTACAGAAGTGAGATTTTGTAAGATTACTAATATATCTCTTCTCAAATTAATATTTATGGGGTGAATTTCCTGATGGTGCTCTAATCTTTCCTTTCATTTTTCTGGTTCAGGTAGCTAGACACCTGCCTAAGACTCGTTCAGGAAAAATTATGCGGAGGGTTCTGAAGAAGATTGTAGAAAACAAAGCAGATGAACTTGGAGATCTGACAACCTTGGATAATCATGGCACGGTGAAAGAGATAATTGAGGGACATAAGAAACTTCTGCAGAAAGACCAGAGCCAGTAGCCCAAAATATCTTGGCTCTCAAGAAGCCACAATAATAAGACTACTGTTCCAACAGCAGTCTTTCTACTCTGAAAATCCCTTGCGGAACCAAAGGAGAAGCTTATTCATTACTGACAAAAACAAAAACAAAAAATAAATGGGAAGAATACAACTCTTAAGTAATAGCTGAAGAATATGCTATTTAATATTCTACACCACATTCACTACTTATCTAAACCACTCCTGGATGATTCACCATTTGCTCCACCGTTTATGCATTAGAAAATTAAGTATCTTCGAGCAACTAAAGTCTGCTGGGAGGAAAATTTCAAACTTTAAGGAAAAATGGCCATATTTAAATACATTTATAGAGGATCTTTACATAATATTGAACTTTGGGGAATAGAAGAATGCTCTGGGTTTTATTAGAAGATTTTGGGGAGCTTTTCAAAGGAAAAAGGAGGATGTATAATTTAAAGGACATGCGACAAAATGTAGAAGATAATGTATACAAGTTTTCCTGCTGCCTATCTGAAGTCTTATAATAGCTTCATTCTGCTTCATTAAAGCAATATAATTTTTTTCAAGTATTGTTTATCAAATTTCCTTTCCTTTTAAATTCTAATAAAAACAAATAGAGCACATCCTTTTAAAATGGTCAGAAAAATCTAACAAAAGAATACACATATCTTCAGCTACCTCCTAGTAAGAATGTGTATTCTCTTCTGTCTTAAAAAGTCATCTTTGGTCATTTTGGTAAGAGCTGTCTGCAGGAATGAATGGAGGTATGCTTTCCATACCTACAGCAACCTTGATTATTTTGCATTTTTAACAGTTCTGAAGGTTATAATTCTGCCCCTCCTCCTTGTAAGCTAAACATGTAGTTGAAAAACACTGCCACAATTTGTCAGATGGACAGAGGTATTTTATTTTTCACATTTCTATCTTGCCACAAGCCAAAGATGCTTGCTGGCTTACATAGATAGCCTATAAAAACCAAGTAAAACATCTACAGTATAAAAAAATAGTTAAAAAACCCCATCAAATATACAAACAATAAAACAAGCTAAATGTGGCAGAGTAAAATTAGGGGAAGTCTCTCCAAAATAATTTCATCTTTAGTAGCTAGTGCTCTCTACCAGCAAGCTGTCCCGTAGCATGGTGCTGCCACTGAAAAACCAGTGTCTTCTTGCTTCAGGTCCATGAACCTCTTGAAAATATAGGATGAGTGGTAGTTTGTGTTTGCTCTGATTGATCAGTTCATGACTGATTGGAGTATGTGGTCCTGCAGATATCTGGGTGCTTGCTCATCAGAAACAACTGTTGTGGCAACAGAGAACTCTGAGTTCACACCAACTCCAACTTACTAAGCTTCATTTTCAGTCTTTTCTCTGCCATCCAGGTCCTGGGAAAGGACATTGATAGCACCTCCTCAAAGCCTGGCTAGTAGTGTGATATCACTGACTATCATTAGCATACTGTTAACACTGAACCCCTAAATGTCAGGTGACTTTTCCTAGAAGCTTCATATAGACAATGAACAGGAAAGAGACGCCCTTGTGGCATCTCACACGTCAGAGGCCACTGACCTCTCTACCATCACAGACTGGAATGACCATTGAGGAAGGAGTAGAACCACTGAAAAAACTCTTCCCCCCTCCCTACCCTCTGCAAAACTCTATCTTGTACTTCACAACTTGTCCAGAGTTGCTTACTTGATTTTTTTATCAAGTGGCGCTGACATTTTACAAAACTCATTGTTATGTTGCATCAAATAAAATCTTTAAACAGTCTGACTGAACAGGTCTAGGGGCAAGATATTTGATCCATTTGCTAGCAACTCCAAATATAGAGGGCAGATCATAGAAATTACACAGCCTCTTTCTTCCTTCTACTCGGGAAGCTTTAGCTCCAACCTTGATGTAAATTATAGTCAAAGAGACTGTGCTACATTCACCGTCCTTATGTAGATAGGCCACATAATTCCAGTTAGGCAGAACTTTAATTCCAATCACACAATGAATTCCACAGATAAAACAAAATTATTCTTTCTTTCCCTTCTGGATGAAAGGTTGTGTAAGGGGTACAGCAATCAAAACAATGGATTGGAAACAAATTTATAAGATAAGAAATGGTTAAAAAATTTCATCCCCATGGTTTTTTTTTTTTAATTGGAAACCATTATTGGCACTTGTAATTTTGAACTTTCAAACCATAGTTTCTCCATTAAAGCATGCTGATTCCAAGGCACTTTAACTTGAGACTTTAACTCCAATATTTTCTGTGATTGGTTTGGGAATAGTTCAGGGTTTCTCAATTCTTGTTAGCTCCCATTTTCCTTCTCCATACAGTTTCAAAATCCAGCTATGGAACTGAAATTAAATAGTAAACACAATATGAGAATTATGACTAAAAAATAATTTCCCTTTATCCCCCTGTACTCATCACTCTTACCTTTTCCAGACTTTTGCGATGGCCCACACTGACCAGAGTCATTCCCAGTTGGATGCAGATTCTATACATCTCATTCTCTACATCTTCTGTCAATGCACTTGTAGCTTCATCTAACACTGCAAGTTTAAATGGGAGCCCTTCAGTATGGCACTACTACAATTTACAGTGTTGTTCTCTTCCTTCTATTGCTGAGTAAAACATAGCAAATGTAATCTAGTCCTCTAATTTTAGCATGCCCGGATCACCATTTGGGTAATTGTAATGTGCTTTATGTGGGGTTGTCTTTGGAGACAACTAGAGAACTACAACTGATTCAAAATATGGTAGCAAAGCTGCTGATGGGACAACCCCACCAGAATAGCATAACACAACCTATCCCCAATCATTGCATTGCCAATGGGTTGCCTTTTGGGCCCAACAGAGAATTCTACTCATTTCTTTCTCATTTCTTTTAAAACCCACCTAATGCTGCACTGAGTTATATCAGACAATGCTCAGCCAAGGTATTACAAACTCCTAGAGAGAGCCTGTTGTAACACATCTTATTCTGCAAGGACCATGAGGCATGAGATAGACAATAATGAGGGCCTCTATCTTTGGAAAGCATTGTCCCTGGAAGTGAGACTACCCTCTCCCATCTTATGTTTAAGAAGTTAAAACTCATCACTGGAGTCACCATTCAGTCCCCTAGCTTGTTCTACTGCCTCTTACATATTTAATTTTTACTTGTTTTATAGTAAGGTTTTAACTGTATGTTCTATTTGGATTGTTCATTGCACAGAATCCCAGATGATTGGAGTTGACAGGCACTGGCTAATAAGTATTCCATGCAACCATTTCCCATCTAGTACGAACAAGCACAGTAGATGTGCTCCAGGTATGCAACAGTGTCATCTTATAGGCCTTAGGAAGCACAGCTACTCTGTTGCAGTCCCTGCCTTCTGGAATGGCTCCCATCCTTACGATGTTCAGGAAGCTGCTAAAAACTGGAGATCTCAGAATAGGATGATTGTAAATCCCACTTTAGTTACATTTATTATGGCTGTTTTGTTTGGGTTTTGTTTGTTCTTTTTATATGTATTGTTTTTCTTTTTATCTGCTTTATATTGTCATGGATTGGGAAGCCTTGAAATTAGGTAAGTAAATAATATTCAGTTCCAATTCTCATCAATCCTAGACAGCATGGCTTATAATTAGAGTTAATGCTATTTGAAGTACAACACTGGGAGAGGCGCATGATGCCAACCTCATTCTATAACCCTCAACAATAATGAAGTGGCATTTTAAACTGCACAGTTGTCATCACGGGCCAATGTTGAAACATCTCCAAGTGTTTTTCCAGCAGCATTCCAGATTAAAGATAATGCATACTGAAATGTAAACCAGCCAAAATAGAATGTCTAGGCTTGCATCCAACAGTGTAGCTAGTTTAATACTTCCAGAACTGGGTTGTAAAAATCTGTAATGCCTATTAAATAGCACTATGAACTTTGCTATCTGTGGCCATTTTGGATTTTTGCAGCCTCTAAGCTAGTTCAGCCTTTCTTAATGTGCCATTCTATAAGTATGTTGGGATAAAAGTCTCATTATCATAGTCAACCGTGTCACTTGCTAAGGCTGAAATAATTACTTCAAATGTTTTTACTACTGCAGTTTTGGTCATGAAGCAACTTTATTCTGTGCCCAGTTTTGTTCTCTAATCTACTTTTCCCTTCACGCTCTGCTCTTCAATGTACTAGAATTATTCCTGTTCCAATCCTTCTTTCCTAGAACTTTTTTTTTTTTTTTTTAAAACAAGTTTTATTAAAAGTTTCAACAACAAACAAATCATTACATATTAAATCTTTCCCTGTCTTTCTACAATAATTTCCCCAATATTCTCATAAAACACAAACAAACACAAACAAACATAAAAAAAAATCTTTTAGTAAAGTACCTTGGCCCCAGTTACCTCTCTTTGCATGGGCTAAAATAATAGCACATATCACTCTTCACATTTCTATCTTATTTAATCCATCTTAATTAAATCATTAAATTTGTATCTTTTGCCCATTCATTTATCCCTCTATCTCTTCTTATAATAAAAAAAAAATTTCTCCTGAAATCACTAATCAGAGTATGATGCCTTTCTATCCTCCCCCTAAGTTAGTAAAATTAACATTCAGCATAACAAATACCCAATTTGGTTCTGCTTGGTACATTCTATCCACCAAAAATGTTTAAATACATTGTATCCTCCTTTCCTTCGATATTTTATTACATTTTAAAAATCAATCATTATTAAAAACTTCAACATTTTAATTTCTTATTAAATCTTAAACCATTCTAATTTACTATTTCAAATATAAATGTTACAATACCATCTTCTGTACCTTAGCAGAATCTTTCTTACAGAAAATTATATTTCATCCTTTATCTCTAAAAAAAATCCCTCTTCTCCCATCCAATTTTAAAGCTTTGAGGCTTTTCTCCGCCTTTCCCCTTTCTTTCTTCCCCCACCAAATCTTCCTACCCCCCCTTCTTCTTCTAACCTCTGCCTTGCTGGGATCCCTTCTCTGTTGTGTTCCCTTTTTCTCTTGTTTGTTATCATTATATTTACTTTGCATCATATTTTTCTCTTTCTCAAATGTTTTTTTAGATCTTAAGTCCTTCATTTTCCTTGCTCTCTTCCTTCCTTCTTCCTTAGATAAGTTTTGGGATTCAATGAAGATGGCGTCTTCGTCTCTTCCTTGTTGTTCTTCTTCCGTTTCCATCTGTTCCATTGTCTGTTAGTAATTGACCAGCGCCATTTCTAGAAATAGAAAAGCTTTTTCCATGCCATCTTTGCAGGCTGCTTTTGTTTGCTCATATTCATCCCTCAGGTCTTCAAAAAGGAAAGCCATTATAAATAAATCTTTTCTTTTCTTTATTCCTCTTTCTTCTTACACCAACCAAATATTCCGAGAGAAAGGCAAAACAATCCCAAAATCCACAATCCTCAATAAATCCAAGCAAGCCAAAATTCCCCCTTCCTCTTCCAGGGGTGGTATCAAACAAATAAAAAAAAAGAATCCAAGTCTATATTTTAAAGCCTTATTAAGATTGTATTTCTGTCCTCAAGTCTTCAAGGCATCTCCTCCAACAAGATCCAAATTTATATATTTTCTTTATCCTCTCCCTTCCGGCTTAATTCCGTCGGGAGGGAGAGTAAACTTTCCCTTCAGCACCTCAAAATAGCCGCTTTTTTTTCTCTTGTGGAAGACATCATCAGAAAACCATCTTTTCCAGGAATTAAATTAGATAAATCTCAAAGCCCTGGGTCGACCAAGAAGAACTTTCACTTTCAATAACTTTCTCTTCTTCCTCCTGCGCATACTTGCCCGGCTGTCAACTTCTTTGTGGCGGCCATTGCGGACCGCCGCTGCACCGTCCTGGTAACAGGGGGTTCTGCCGGCCAGGGAGGGGGTCTGCAACACCCCCAAACCCTTCCTCCGGATCCCCCTTACCTTCAGCTACCCCTGCAGGGCAGCCTTGCTCCGCACCCGTCCGGGTCGGAGCCCCAAAACGGCTAGCGCGGCAGGGATCGCGCAGCTTCGCGAATCCCTACCGCTCGCGAAGCCGACAAACCGGAAACTCCTTCTTTCCTAGAACTTTTAAAGCATCCTCTATCCTTTGGCTTTCCTCATTTTACTTTTTATCAAAGTCCTATTTCCTCAGCTCTGCCTTTCCAAGGATATTGAAACCAAAAAGGTCTATAGGAAATATTAAGGAGAATAACTACTGAGCTTTCCAACAGATGGTCATATTAGCTTTTTGTAGTTAAAAGCAACGAAGAGCCTTGTGATATCTCAAAGATTGAAGTATCTACTATTGTCTAAGCTTTTGTGATCACTTCACCAGGCACATGTCTGTGAGAAAACTGCTGTTATAAGGAGATTATGATCCACAAAAACCAATGTAATCATAATTTCTTCAGTTAAGTGCCACAAACCACTTTCACCCAATGCCTTCCCATATCCTTAAATAAGAAAATTAATCCTATTATCCTTCATTCTGTATTCCTTTTCTTACCTGCATACTGGGGTTGTAAGTAGAACAGGCGAGCAAATGACAGCCTTTGCATCTCACCTGGTGAAAGAATGTCATACCTGCATCAAAGATAAGAAGCAGAACAATCCACAATAAACACCATTACCCTGGTCTTCCGCAGCTTTTGGATCTACTCACTCCATTAACATCATCTCACTAAATAAACAGAAATGACCTTACCAGTTCCAGTCGACAGGCTGGTCCAAACCTCCTGTTCTCATTAACAAGTCTGACTGTATTAGGCACAGAAAACAACATATTAAAAACCACAACTTGGTCCACCCTTATCATACAAATGCATTCGCAGACCTATCATTACAGAATCACCTTGGTTTGTTGGTATAAGCCCATGGCCAACTTCTATTTGGTCTCTGCCTTCACTCTAAGTCATGAAGGTTGTCACTAGAATTTATTATCCTGGTAAGGTTTGTTCAATACATCATTGTGAACCAAGGTTCAGCTTTGATACCAGTAATAAATTTAACTGCTGATACTCGGCGTTCTCCAAATCCAGCCAACATGCTGAAGTTCATAGTTCTTCTCTTTAAGGGTTAATTATTGGCTTAAACTTAGTAAACCTTTTCATCCACTGTCTTCCAAAAACTGGGGTATGAACCAATTTATATCTTTTATGTTCTAGATAACTCACCAGTCCAGCCAGCTCCAGGAACCTGAGTATCCTGTCATCATCTATAGACCCTGTGGTACAAGAAATTCAGTGGCAGAAGCATGCTAATCAAAAGGTGTTTTTTTCAGATCAGCACACTGCAAACTTTGCAGTGCTGTGAGATCCTACGTAAGACATGAATTTGTGTGACATTCCATAAAGCTAATGCCTTATTGTCTTATTGAAATTAGGGTAGAAAGGGAAAAATACACCCACTTTTTAATAATGAACATTTAATCTGTAATTGGAGATCTTTCAGATGTGCCTGGATTGCAACTCCTAGGAATCCCAGTCCGTCTGTAGCTAAGTAGGCAGATATTTTTCAATAGGAAGGTTCTGTTCTCAAGAAAGATACCTTTATTTCTGGCCCTGCCTCCGCTGCCTCTGGCCACATTTTCAAGTCTTTTGCAACTGGAAGCAAAAGTAAAATGAGCACAGTCCTCTGGTGTGAACCTCAGCCTGGGTTGTTGTTGTATAGTTCATCTGTCGTCTTATTTTTATTCATCCCCTTTTGAAGTCTCATGAAAAGACAGGAACCAAAGATTGTTGTCCTTTTTTCTTCCTCTCAGTTCTCCTTTTCTTTATGGATAAGGATCCCCATAAGACTCATATCTACCACAAGTGGAATATCCCACAACCAACTGGGATGGGGGGGGGCACCTCTCAATACTTGAGAACACAAAAGTCTTTGGAGCGGGATACTATGAACTGGCATTATATTATTGGACTATAAATTCCCTTTTTTATTTCTCTTCCCTTCTGGCATATCAATTTCCAGTACTGGCTTTCCTGTAATTAAGTACCGCGTTTCTCCAACAATACGCCCCCCCCAATAGGAAGACCCAGCATGTTTTCTAGGCATAAAATATTAAGCCCCTCCCTCCAAATTTAGGCCTAGTTTAAAACATGCAAAATTGGGGGGCGGGGCGGGGGGAACTTGCCATTAGGAGTGCCCCACAGGCAGCTATGCCTCACCATCAGCCGCTCCTAACACCATGGTGGAGCACGGAGGGCTCTCTTACCCCTCCCTTACCCGGGTCAGCAGGTGGGCGGCGTCGGCGTGGATGTCCGGCAACGTTTCAGCCACTTCTCAGGCCTTGGTAGCTTCCACAGTTCCCACCGGTGCTGGCGCCTCTCTCGCCAGCGCTGTCTCCAACAACAGCATCTGAGTCACTCCCGCTTTTCCCCCATCCCCATAACAACAGGAAAAAAAACAAAACATTTTGAGGTACCTGGGAGCGCCGCACGCTGCGTTTTGGTTTAATCCCGAGCAGCTGGGTGGGCGTGAGAAGAGCCGAGCGAGCGTCTCTGCTGCTGCTACCCTTGGTGCTCCAGCCTTGGGCTCTGCAAGTTTGCAAAAGTCCTGGTGCGCAGCCCATTCCTGCATTCCAAGAGCCCAGGCTGAGCTGCAGCTGTCCCTCTCTTGCCAGCGCCATCTCCAATAACAGCGGCAGCAGCGGCGGGAACCATGGAAGTATTTTAGCCGCTTCTCGGGTGGGGGAGCCGCCTCCGTAACTTCCACGGTTCCCGCCGCTGCTGCCGCTGTTGTTGGAGACGGTGCTGGCGAGAGAGGGATAGCTGCAGCTCAGCCTGGGAGCTTGGAATGCAGGAACGGGCTGCGCACAGGGACTTTTGCAAACTTGCAGAGCCTGAGGCTGGAGTACCAAAGGCAGCAGCAGCAGAGACTCTTGCTCGGCTCTTCTCACACCCACCCAGCCGCTCGGGATTAAACCAAAACGCAATGCGCGGCTCTCCCAGGTACCTCAAAATCTTGTTTTTCCTGTTGTTAGGGGAACGGGGGAAAGGGAGAGTGACTCAGACGCTGTTGTTGGAGATGGCGCTGGTGCGCAGGGGGGGGGGGGAGAGAAATTAATTCACCCCCGAAAAGACGTCCTAGCCATTTTCTCGGGGCTTAAAAAAAAAAAAGGCCCGGCCTTATTTTGTGAGAAACACAGTAACATCATACAACCTGGGAATTGTAGAATTTGCAACCCAACACATCTGGTGAATGCAAGATTGAGAAAAATCACTCCATTGTGAATTAAACCCAAGGCATACAAGTCTGAAGCTCTCAAATGGTTGGAAGCAGCCTCTGGAGAGCTTCCAAAAGTCATTAATGAAGAAAGTGATTAATTGCACAATATAAAAACAATCAAATTTACTATATTTATTTTCAGTCAAATTTAAATGTAAATGGTTTTTTTTTGGTTCTGGCTCCAGCTATTACTTTTTAAAATGTAGGTCCTGACATTCTGTTTGGCCCCAGCCCAGAAAAAGTGCATTTCCCCAAATCAGAGAGATCCCAGTAGTTAAGGAACAACTCAAAATAGAAATGAGAGCTAGACGTCGCTGAAACAGAAGCCAAGCAAAATAACTTTCAGTCCCATAAAGTAACCTCCAGCTTTTATTAGATTTACATTAACAGGACTTTCCAAACTATCTGAAAGTACAGTTGTTTATTAATCAAGCATCATTTTTATTTAGATGACCTTTCACCAAGAACTTTAGAGATTGATTTTAAACAACCCTTTCACTAATAAATCCCACTTAATTTGGTGAGAACCTAGAAGTTGTTATCTATCATAACAAAATCAGAACTGTTTGATTATTCTCATGGATTTTATAAACATACTAATCCACCCTTTGGATTTGTAATTGACAATGATGTCCTGCATACAACAGTGAACTATGACAGATGGTTAGCTATCAGCAAAACTTTCACATCACCTCATATTTCCTCAGGGTGGGAAGGTTTTCAGTGGGGTCATGTTCCACATTTAGTTGCCAGATAAAACCATGTGGGTACAGACATTACCAGAAACATATTAGAGATACTCAATAAAATGAGGGAGGAGCAGGAGAAGGTGAGGAATTGATTTAGGGGGAGTCAAGTTGCCTTAGAGGCCATTCATTAAGATTCACAATACAGTTATTTTGATAAGAGGGCTCTTTCATCACCATCCTTTTTATCTAAACTTCTTTGGATAAAAACTTCTTTCCTGGATTTATGCACAACAATGAGCCACACGCACAAATTGAATTTATATCTCTTAAGAAGGCCTTTCATTTTACCTCTTTATCAAAGTTGCATTTATCAACTTTGCTCTTTCTGCCCAAACTCAATTGTCTCCTCTAAGTTTAGACTATCCCCATCATACTTTCATGGATTGATTTGGGGCTTGTAAAAGTAGAGTGGTGTTTCAGCCACCTTTCCCAGAAGAAGAATTCTATATATTTAAAAAATATTAATTTTTTAAAAATTAAGTTAAAATGGTACATTCAGAAGACATACGTAATAAATAGTAGCTCTGTGGATGATTTGGAATTAGACGGTCATCAACTCTAAGCTGTATAATCAGCAAGAAGGATTTTCAACACATAATCATTCAGAATATTTTGAAGGGCATCAAACTGCCTATCCATGGAATAAATTTATGGTGAATTGTTTGATCAAGATCTGACTACAATTCACATATAATCCATTGACAGTTTTCTTTGGCTATACAGCATAAGGCCAAACATGCATATGGAGGAACACCTCATAGTCCTAAATATATTAAATGCCTTTCAATGAACATCCTAGTCAATTATGTTTTGCAAAAACATAAAGCTACAAAGAATTAGTCTACCTATATGTACTGCTAGGTCATGAATTGAAGGCATATATAATTAAGAAAAGATATACACCATGGTAGTCTCCAATGCAATTCCCACTCACCAGAATCTGGATAGATTTCCTTTAGAGGGTATATAATCTAAATCAAATAAAGCAGACACAAATTCCAAATGAGATACTTCACAAACATAAAGGAGCCAGAGTTAAGCAGCAATTCCCCTCCCTTAAGGAACTTTTAATAAGTAAACCAAGTAGGGTTCCTAGAATTATGTATTGAGTATAAAGTAATTCTGGAGCATGCTGGAAATCTAACCACTCTGACAACCTGATACTAACATGACTCACCTGTTCCCGCAGTGTTCCATCTGTGAAGAAAGGACGCTGAGGTATGATCACTACTCCATGGGGGCCAAAGGAAGTCAGCATGTGGACTTCCCCTGCACAAATCCAGCAGAAAAAGTAAAACAAAAACAAAGCAATGAGCCAACAGTTCCAACTGTAAAAATTCAAGATCAAAAGATCTACCCTATTTACCCTGGTTGTATGAGGGATCATCTTATGTATTTGCCTGGTTTTTTAATAGCTGCATGAAATGGATCTTTATTTTGTCACACTTGCCATGTGGCAATTTAAGAAGGGAATTTTTTTGATATAGGATCTCTGGATGTACAATATTTCTGCTTCAGCTCACACAAACCATTGTAAACTTTCAATGTCAACTGGAAACCTATGGGTTTACCCAAGAATTTAACAAAACGTGTCCTGTTGTGCTTTTCATTGCTCTGTTTGTTTTTGTTTTTAAGGAGAGACCTGTGGCTTCAAGCCTCTTTAATTTCTTCCCTTTTGAGATTATTGTGTTCATAATGAAGAATAAGCAAATTTTATAAATGAAATAAATCAACACACACACTCACAATATTAATAATCTAAAACACATTAAGTAAAACAAAAGAACCAAGTAGACCAAAAAGGAAAAACACAAGTCATCTACAACATATAGTATGAAGACTGTAACAGCCAGGACAGACAGGCAGAAGATTGAGTGCAATCATGAACATCAACATCAGAAAACACAATGAAAACTTCTTAATCTTGCCACTCATGTACGGATTTAATAATAGTTTCAACTGGGAAACTAAGATCATACACCAAGCTAAATCCAAACATACTAGGGAATTCCTGGAAGCTGTGGTATTCAGACAAATCAGTAATCACAACAGACACATAGATATAAAGTACATTTATATATCAATAAAAACAATAAAAAAACGCAAAGAGGAAACAACAAGACTAGAATACATCTTCTCCAGCAGCCTACACTCAGATAAGCAACAAACAGAAAACAATACCCTAATCAAGGAACTATCAAGGAGAAAATGACACCCCAATGACAAGTTATTGTATATAAACAGGGAGCAAATCACACACTCACCAGCACTGATAATATTACCTAGTTGGGTAAAGAAATGTCTGTAAGCAAACAACCAACATCAAAGAGCAGCAAGGACTCCATTGAATTCAGGATCTGGACAAGTTCAGGTTCTGAAAGGTCTTCCTAATTCAGTGAAGTCTGCAATTTCTATAAACAACCTTTTCCAACATGGCACTCTTAAGTTGAGGAAGGGTGGGATTAAAACTACTATCAATGGCTACCCTCTGAACATTTGTAGCCTAACACCTCTGGATGGCATCAAATGTATATTTACATTTCTGAATAATCTAAATTCAACTTTTATTCCATTAGCTACGTTATGAAGGACCAACTTGCTGAAAGCTTTCTCAAAGGGCACCATTTCTGGGCACTCACCCTGCTTGCACTTCCATAGGCCTCCGAGAATACGCAACAAAGATGTCTTTCCTGTGCCTGTATTCCCAGTAATCAGGAGATTGTTCCCTTGTGTGACTTTCATGTTTAGGTCCTTGATAAGCAGGTTCTTGGAAGGAGCAGCAAGGGAAACATGCTCCAGAACAAAAGCGGTGTCTTTTGAAATCCTCTTCTCTTTAGAAATGCTGAAGATATCAAGCCCCCATAAAAAGAGAGGAAAGACATAAGTTAAGGACTGATAGTATGTGCATTGTTCATAGAAAGAGAGTGCAGTCTATATATATTTTAGCACTTTAATGATAATAACTTGTGTAGCCCAAAACAAACAAGGACAGCCCCACTCCAAATATTTTGTTACAGAGACACTTCTCAACAGTCAGCAATTCTGGGCGTCTGCTGTGGCTGCTAAAATGTGCAGAGCTTTTAAAACGTCTTGGTGTCGGAATTCATAAAACTCATGTTCCCCCAACCCATTGAGAAGCCTGAGAAGTCTTTGGGAATTTAGAAGACCAGGGCCTGGCAGCCTCTTTATAAAGGTCAAAGTGTGCTGTCCTATCTCTTTTTCACTCCCTGTACTTCTTGTCCAAATCCTTCTCAGAACCAAGTGCTACAGCTCTCAGGTTCCACTTGGCATTGGTGTGTGTGTGTGTGCCCTGATTTATTTATTATTTTATATGTTTAAATTGCTCAATAGCTCAGTTTCTTTAGCTGGTTTACGATAAAACATTAAAAAAAATTACAATCTGAATGAAGACAGATACCGAATCAAACAGAGGTCTCCAAACTTGGCAACTTTAAGACTTGTGGATAGCTGGCTGGAGAATTCTGGGAGTTGAAGTCCACAAGTCTTAAAGTTGCCAAGTTTGGGGACTCCTGGAATAAAAGATCAAACAAAAACACCATATCTAGTAAATTAGGTCATTCAAAAAAGAAACAATATGAATTAAAATAAAGTGAATTGCTAGTCTGAAAAATAGAATGGATTTTACCTGGTGCTGAAATGATACCAGTATGGATAACAATCAAGTTTCTTAGGTGTGTGTATTGGGGGGGGGATTCCACAAATGGAGTGCCATATCCCCTCTTTCTATTCTTACAAGAATTTCTATAGTTAAAAGAAAGGGGGATAGATAAAAAGGCTTCCGCCTCTCCATCACCACTAATTATCCACACACCCCCAAAAATTTTATTTTTGACCCAGAAACATGATTGGCAGCCACCTAGCATTTTTAGGCACCTGGCATGAAACAGGTATCTCCGGCTTCTCAAATTCATAAAAAGAATCATGTAACAGGTGAAAGAAGCCTCAGCCTAATACTAGGTTCTTACAATCAGATCTGGTATACTGTAGCTTCTTACATCCCTCACTTCCTATATTACCTTTAGAATTTTCCAGAATTATTTCCCTGGCAAACCGTCACAGAAGGATAAACTGGAATATTCTTCCACAGGTATGGCCAAGATATTTATCTATAATTTGTATGATAACCCAAATAACCAAGGAGCACCATGGCATAAAGCACCAAATTGCCATCCCATATCCTATAGCTACCGTACATACCTGTCAAAGTCCCATTTGACTTGTGAGTCACTATGATTTTGCTTCTTTGAAAGGTTCAGCAATATTTCCTGCAACTCTCCAATTCTACAAAAGTCAGTGATTAGGGAAGGAGATGAAAGAAAAATGCTTACGTTATACGATTTCCCCAAAGGTTAAGAAAATATTTGCTGAAAAGAGGAAGAGATCATACATGTTTAGAAATATTGGAGTGGTTAATCTTTGTAGAGTTCTAGGGTCCAACTGAAATGCTCTTCAAATTGAATGCCCTGTAGGCTAAGAGAAGTGCCAGTTGAAATTAACCTTTAGAAGTTGAAAATACTCTACTGAGGCTACCACTTCTATTAGAGCAGAGGTCCCCACCCCCCAGTCCATGGACCAGCACCAGGCCATCCAAACAAGTGAAGACCTATCTGCGGGATGCGGGCATTATACAAAACCATGCCTCTCCAGTCTGTGGAAAAATCTCTTCACAGAACTGTCCCTGGTGCCCAAAATGATGGGGGCTGCTAAATTAAATGGTCAGCATTTTAGGTCTCAAGAGAAAAAAAAGAGGCTGCCTTGTTATTTTTTTTCCCTTTAAAAAGGCATCTTAGAAGAGATTCTATGACAGACCCGCTTTTGTGGCCTCAAAGTGAGAAGAGTGAAAACTCTGCCCTTCCTACCCCCATCTTTTTTATAGCCTATGTAGCAAAATCAGATATTTAAGACACCCATTTCGTCTCTTCATTGTATTAAACTCTCATTGCAAAAGGAGATCTGGTTCTGTTCATGTTTGAAATGTGGCTCTCAACCCCTGGTGTAGTCCTTGAATTGACAAAAACCATAGACTTCTGGAACAAATAGTGATGGGTTCTTTTGCCTTTCAGAGTTTTAGATATTCAGAAGCTTCCATGCTATCTGAGTGCTTCCCAAACCCAGAGAATAAAATACCTGTGAGTGTAGCCAGCTACATCAGACACTGTGGTAGAGAGATCAATTAAGACGCTGAAACAGTGAATCAAGTAAATTGAGACAAAGGCATTCTGCAAAGCAAAATCACATGAAAATAGAGTTAGGCCAAGATGGGAAGCCGTCCACAAGAGAAAGGAAACTCTCACTAATTATCCTGATGCTAAGAAATTGTTCCTCGATAATTTCTGACTCTTCTGCTGCTCACATAATTTGTCACACAAAAAAATAGAAAAATAGAAACACATTTTTCCGTATATGGATTGCCTTGAAAATCTTAAAACTCTCCTTCCTCTTCCAAAAATGTTTCATTACATAGTAAAGAATATAAGCCCAATTATTTTTAGATTGATTTGTATCAAGCAGGAATTTAGTTCTGGCAACTTGCCTTGAAAGAGTGATTTCAGTGATCCCTACTTTTCAGAAAGCACTCACCCCACGACAGGTGGAGCAATAAATATGCCAACTTGAATGTTTTTATGACAAGCCACTTAGATCCTAACAGTCAGCAGTTGTATAGAAACAAGTATCCTATGGCAGGAAAGACTGAGGCTTCTCTTTGGTTAATAAGCAATAATTTCTCTAACACAGGAGAACTGGATTCTCCCATCTAATACTTATTTTCATTTCTGTAAAACATTTTGAAATTCATGATACATAGACTGAAATAAATAGAATAGCCTCATAGAAGCTAGGGTTGATGAGCATTTCTCATTTCTTCTTGTGAAGTTGGAAACAGGGTATTTTGAAAATATTGTGACTTTCAAAGAAAAAGAGAAAAACAGCAGCATTAGGGAAAAATAATTATACGTTAATGCTCTGGGATGTTCTTGCAGAACCTGATGTAAGTTGCAAAGTTCAGCAACCTGGGTATCTCAACTTTTCACATCCTTCTAAAAGTAGATGAAGTTCCTAGCCCTCATGCAGGAAACAGAGTCAAAATATATGAGCATAAGGTAGTGAAATCCCAGAGGAGATATTGAATAGATTAATAGCATCAACAATTTCAGTTGTAGGACTTGTATTTATATACTGCTTAGGTGTCGTCAAATTGATATCAACTCTTAGCAACCACATAGACTTTCTTCAGGATGATGTGTCCCCTTCAGGTCTTCCAACAGTGCACCCAATGTTGCTGCAATCTATTTCATCCACCTGCCAGTTGTCCTCTTCTTTCTTTCACTTTCTTAACATTATGAGCTTCTCAAAGAAGCTGGGTCTTTGCATTAGATTCAAAATAAGATCGTTGTTTTCTTTTTCTCTGGTAAACTGGATTTCTTGAAGATGTTGTTGATGATCCTGTGAGTGTTCTCTAATTGGACCTTTTTTATTTTGGTGAATATCTCCCCACCAACAATCAGCACCCAGATGAGCAGAGATTAACTCCAAGGTTAACATCAGATCAACAATCAAGGAAACAGTATCCCAATCAAAAAAGTGCCAAACGAGCCAACAAATAAATAGCCCAACCAAAGAACTTTTAACACCACCCAGGGCAAGAAATAGAATATAAACTGAGAGCAAGCCTTTAATTAACATAAAAACAGGATCTTTCACCCCAAACAATCTGCAAAAACTCACCTTGCTAACTAAGGAGCTCAATTGTGTGGGATTCAGATCATCATATACTCCATTAAATATAGGAATGGCAATCATCACGTAGCTCAAGATGCTGCCCAAATAATCAAAGGTGTTGATCCCAACTGAACAAAAACATATCAGCATGATATAGTCAGTAGAAGGGAGCTTTTGAATAGGATTTAGGTCTTGCCATACTGGGCTCAAGTGCAGAAAGATACAATATTTTTTTCATATGGGCACAACGTTTATTGGAGAGCACTACATTTAGACACTCATCACCTGAACTTTAGCTGAAATTAGATTAAACATGATATTTATATTTGCAAAGTAGGGAATGTTTCTATATCAACAAGATTGCTTTAGCAGTGTGGGCCAAAGCAAATATTTTTGGTTCAATGTCATTCTTACAATGTATGTCTCCAGTCCTTACCGTGCTTTTTAAATAGCATGTTGTATGTTGCATAAATCATGCAGCCGATTTGCAGTTATTCAAGAAACAAAATTACTCGGGGGTGTATAATCAAAGGCTAATTAGACTTGGATAAGGCAGCCTATGAATACAGTTTGACCCACTTATAGCCATGATCATATATATATGTGTGTATGTGTTTGACATTGTGCTTGTTTTAGCCTGGAAAAAAATATACCTTATCCAAACTAGATTCTGATATTTAGGAAAATACATATCAACAATACAGATACATGTGTCCATTATTCTGAATAGCAAAACACTGGGAATGTCCTTTTAATAGAAACAGAAAATTCCATTAAAATCCAAGTGTTGATTACTTTGTTCAAAACGTTACAGCTGTATCTTGCTTTAACACTCATCCTAAAGACTGTCACCTTTCAAGTACAGAATCCAAATATCTCCACTCGCATATAGACAGCCATGGAATTCATCTTCTGTTTCAGAGTTAGCTGATGCTTGACTACTTTACTGTTTGAAACACTGTATTTTGTTCTCAAAATATTCCCCACATGCACAATTTAAAATTTCTCCCTAGTGAAACTACTTTAATCGATGTTACAAGTTAAGATGACAAAGTGCTTCTCCTTACTGTATAGCCATAGTTCTTTTCCCATCAGTTCCCTCTGCGTCTTTAAAAGATTTTGAAGCTTGTAGTTGGTTCGCATGTGTTCAACTTCCCCAGCTCTGCAAAACAACAGGACATGACTGGTCAGGTATAGTGGTCCTTTCTGCAAACATATAGTCTTATGGGCCAGGAAACCAATGTAGCATTAGCAAAAATATAGGCAATTCTCCATATATTTTCATGAACTGAGTTCATAAAACCTATTAAATCTGCGGTTTAGCAATTTTAATATATATATGGACTTAGAATTCCCCCAGCATGCAGGCAACACCATAGTTAAAAAAACAGAAAAAGGAGCCCTGTTTGCTGCTGTAATTCATGGTATCACTAAACTACTCCAGTTTCAGCTTTCCATCCTCCCCAGGGAGCATTTATACTCAAACCACATTGAACCAATGCCACTAGTGACCTCATGTGGCAAAAAGCAGAAAGCCAGATGGCCCATGTCTGTTCCTCCTATTTTGATCTGCGGCCCTTTTCCTTGTTCTTCCGCCAAAATGTCTCTCTAATGTAATTTACACATACTTCTTATGCAGAACCACTTTTTGCTTTCAAAATTTCTATCTGCCATACGAGTTGAGTAATTGAAAAGAACAGTACTGAATACAGACAGGAAAAAACCTTGATTCTCTATTGGGTCCTGATCTTCCTTACTTCTGAATTAATTTCCTGTGATGCAAGAGGGGACATATAAAATTTGTTTCTGCGCTTTAAGGAAAAAATTCAAAACCAATGACTGAGAGCACCACACATTTTCTATGCACATACTACATAGGCACATACTATACACATACTACATAAGAGAGCTTCATCCACAAAGCCTCAGCATGATTAGCTCACCGCAAATCTTTTGTCACTGAATTTTGAAAGGATAATAGTTGGACTAAATATATTTACAAAACTGCCCATAATTAGAAATCCTAATAAGTGAAGACAGGGAACTGATGACTACCAAATGAATGAAAAGAAAGTTCAACAGATTTGTTAAAAATTGTTTGAAAGTTATTGACATATAACCTGGTCACTCATGGTTGGATGAAATTGATCTGAGCCTCAAAAAGAAAGATGACACATTTATGAAGTAGAATTCATTTATGGTAGAAGCAAGGATGGAAAGGTATAAAAAGATATGTAGTTGGTATCAACTAATTTTAGGTGTATTTTCCCTTTCCTTATCAGGAAAGGAAAGGAAAGGAAATTTCCTTATCGGGAAAGGAAATAGTAAATCTTAATTTACTATTTTTTATCCTCTTCCTGCATTCAGTACAATCCTGCTCACCCAAAAAAGAATACAGTGATGGTTATCTATGTATGCAGATATAACTTAAGAAAAGGGAGCTTAAATTTGAAAAAAGGGGAGAAAATAATTCAACAGCATGAAGAGGGTTTGGGCTAAAATAACAATTCATGAAATTCCATTTACTGTATATGAAATATGTATTATCCATAAAAATTGAATTTACAATTTTCTTGCTTTTGAAGACGAGATACTAAAAAGAAAGGAAAGTATCTTACCTATAGAAAGCAACGGATTCAGCATTCACCCGCAGCTGCATATGCTTAAATCTGTTGGAAAGAAGGAAAATATTTTCTTCAGTGTATGACAATTTCTTAGATGAAACAACCAGAATTTTAGAAAAGCCCCCTTCATAATTATCATGTACATACAACATAATGATACAGGTCCTTTCAGGACATGAATAGATACAAGGATTGTGCAGCATCTTAGCAAGAGGCATGAAAAAATATTAAAATCTCTGACCCCTCTCTTCTACTTCTTAGCCACTTGAATTGGTACCTCACCTCCAAATAGTTTTATTTCAAGAATTTTTCAAGATATCACAACTAAGTTGATGTATTAATATATTTGCAAACAGCACCACATGTCATTTTAGATGTGAACCAGTTAATAAGATCTGCTCAATACATTCACCTGAAATCACCTTCAAGCTTTTCCTGGTGCACCAGTTTTGAAATAATGGGACTCATTAGGAACTTGTTAACAATTGTCCCAATGATAAAATAGCCAAAGATGCTTAGAGGACCCAGCCAGCCAGTGCTAAGAGAGAGAAATTCAGAGAGGTTAGCAAATCTATTGGTAGGAAGGTTGCTTTGAAACATTGTAAATGGGCAGCACTTATTAGTGTCATAGCTGTTACACTAACCATATACAAGTGGTCCTCAGTTAATGATTACTTGTTCAATGACTATTCAAACTTGTAAAAGTCCTGAACAAGTGGTAATTACCTCCTGTCCTCAAAGTTCTGGCTATCACAGCATTCTGTGGTCTCATGTTCAGGATCCTAGTACTTGGTCATCAGTTTAGTTTTCCAATCATCGCAGTTAATTGCAATTTGCAACATTCCCCACCAGTTTCCTCAACAAAGTTGATGGGAAAGAATGCAGGAAATTGGAAGTTGCAATCACATGAAGTCCTCATTTAATGATTTCAGTTTGCTTAATGATAAAGAGGGACTACCAGAACTGCTTGTTGCTAAGCAGTGCAATCACGTGACATCAAAATTTATGACTGCATAATAAATTTATGACAGCAATGGAAATTCGAGTCCCAATTATCTTTGTTAAGTGAGGATTACCTTTAATCAAAGAGCATTACAAATACTGTAGTGACTGTCCAAATGAATTACAATTCATAGCCACCATGGTCATTGAAGAGAAACTAGGTATTCAACAACAATAGTCTCCCTAACATCAATATATAACAGAGCATATGCTGCCCCCCATCCCACCACCCATTTTAAACTAGGAAAATTCTTGATGAATTCAATATATTATAACATGGAATCTGTGGCCAGACAACTTGAAGCATAGTTAGTTACCTGCAGCACTCCCTGCCTTATAACTTAACTGAGATTTGCTAATGGTAATTCTTCTTTCAAAAGTAGTAGAAGGTGGATCTTGAGCTGGCAATATTAAATAAATTAAATGCCATTAAGTGAAGTTGAATTGTTACTCTATGGAGTTCTACCAAACTGAGACTCTCCAAATATACAACTGTATTATTTTGCAAACTTTCTATTCTTTTCTCACCCCATTTGCTCAAAAGAAGCAAATGGTGGTCAGAATATTTTTGTACCTGGTGCTGAAAATTCATTAAAGCTACTTTTCTCCATGGCATTAAAAATACAATAAGATTAAATAAAATAGCATTTTAGTGACTTTTCATAGCATCCAATAAATCTACTGTGTGAAGAACTGTAATGTCACCTGAACCTGTGAGAAGCTTAGCCAAATTCATCCCTTTCAACTGTATTCAGAAACACCGCAACACCTGAGCACTATTGCAATATGGTTTCAGCTATCCAAGATGGGCGGCTATCTGGGATAAGTGGATGTTGACAAATGCTCTTTGCAAGGCATTTGCATAACTACCAATTAATTTTTTTGATGCTCACTTTGTCCCTAAACTAGAAGCACCAAGTGAGAGCTTTCATTCCACTCTTTCTCATTCTTTTCTAATCCTGCCATTTGTTATTCACTGAAAAATTGTTGGAAATAAGCATAGAGAACCAGGAAGAACTTCATAAACACATCAGTCTTGGAAACCATGTAAGCCTTTTACATTGACAAGACGCATACCATACTTGCTCTTTCCAGTCCTTCCCCTTTCCTCCCACACAATCTTTGTTTCCCATGTATAAAAGCCAAACTGTTTACACAGTTCTTAAATCTATCCTTCCCACATAATTTGTATTTGTAGCTTAAACTCCTTATCTACCAGATCAACCTATTCCACTAGATAGTTTCCAACTGTATCTTGTAATCATCTTCCCTGATTTCCCTTCCCTTGTAACCCTGATAGCTACAAGGCCACAAAACTCTACTGGAAAAGGTTGGTCTGGTAAATAAAGAGTTAAAGGTAAGAGCCATGTTGGTGCAGTGGTTAGAATGCAGTATTGCAGGCTAATTCTGCTAACTGCCAGGAGTTTGATCCTGACCGGCTCAAGGTTGACTCATTCTTCTGAGGTCAGTAAAATGAGGACCCAGATTGTTGGAGGCAATATACTGACTCTGTAAACTGCTTAGAGGACTGTAAAGTACTGTGAAGCAGTATATAAGTCTAAGTGCTATTGTTATTTTTTCCTGAGATCCCAGTGTTCTGGGTACTGTCCAGATGTGTAACCAACAATTTCCAACCAGCACAGTCCCTTTATCAGAGTTTAAATCTCCTCATTTCAAGGACATGCAAACTGGGAGGGATTATTTAGTTTTAGAGCATTTTCATCTCCTCCATGCTACTATCACTAGGTGAGTGGACAATATTATAGCCTATTTGAACATGTCCAGTTTGATTTACAAGCCATTCCCAACACATTGTAATCCTCGCCTTGCTTTTCTTTGTTTTGTCCTGACCAAATGAAGATTGCAATGGTTTTCAGGTGCAATCTATCACTGTTGAATGACTGTAAACTGTAAGCTGGTGTGCAGGGCCCATATATCTGTAATGAACCAGAGGAGAAACACATTTGAATGCCTGTTTCAATCAAGGAGGGAAAAGGGAAGAAAAGGTAGTTTCCTGAGGTTGCAGGACAGGCACAAGATTGTGGGTGAACTTGTTTGTTTGCTTTGCTGCTCGCAACAAGCCAATCCTGGACTGCCATCACTATCATACAATTATTGGGGAGGTGGGGGGGGGGGTATCCAGTAGCTAGTGCAGGGGAAAATCCCTACGTGACGGGACTCACTGCAAGCAGGCTCTTCATGATAGGAATCACTTTCCTACCTGTAAAAACATTGATAGGTGTAATAAGCAAGGGTGAAGGGTGAGATGATCAGCTTACTGGCCATAGAGCTCAGCTGTTTGCAGAATCTCTCCACATCTTGACTGATTCTCTGGTCTCTAAACAATTGTGCAATAAAGAGAGATGTTACCTTGACATATACCACTGTGACAAGAACAGAAAGGGAGAAAAGTTAATGTGTTATGAACAAAATGAATCATTCACTAGTCCAGTGAATAGTGAATAAACATTTGCACCAAGCAAACCACGAGAGGTAGTCCTCGATTTACAGCTATTTGATTAGTGACCATTTGCAGTTACAATGGCATTGAAAAAAAGTGACTTATGATCACTTTTCACATATACAACAATTGTGGCTATTACTACTTTGATTTAGCAATGGAAATTTTGGGTTCAATTATAGTCATAGATTGAGGACTATCTTATTGAGTAAGAACATGGAATGGCGTCAACTGTCCCATCATAGATGTTTATGTGGTAGGATCAAATATTGCAAAAAACGCAAGTTTTTTTCTGATTTGGTTTGTTCTGTAAGAATTCAGCCATCGTCGTTTGCAATTGTTGCAGTTACAAACCATGGCTTTGGATAGGTGGAAACAGTGACTTGGTGGATCATAATTATCTCATAGCAAAAACATCACTTCAGCAAATGATACCTTTTAGGAAATTCTCTTTCCTCTTTCCTCAGATATTATGGAGTTTTCCAATAAATTATTTTCATAGTTTCATGAGCAGGATTTGGGGCAGAAAGCAATCTTCCCTGGCAGAAGCCAGTTATAAAGGAAATATGGTTTTGTCCTGATTTCTATTGTTTTAGTGTTTATTCTTTTAACTTCTCATCAGCTGCTCAGATAAAGTACATCAAAAATGAACTGAGGAAGCTCCAATTCATGTGTAATGGTAAAACTTTTGAATACACAAAAATAGATAAAAACTTTTAAGAATATAGAACAAATATGTTCTAAAATCTAACCAATTTATTGCAGTTAGCATTACTTTTTAGGAAGTGAAACAAAGATCTGCGTAGTTTCATAGCTTCATTTGTACTGTTTTAGAAATGCATCCCCAGCAATATTAGATTTGGAATGATAAACCGGTGATGGATTTTCACAACAAACTCTTCTTACATACTTGCAGTTATAAGTATCATAGTTGTTTTTAAAAAACAACGATTAACTAAAGGAACATTTATATGAATGGTACACTAGTATAATTAAAAAGATTATGTTATTCTCTTAAGATTTTTCAACAGCCTCCCATTTTTTACTATTATAAATATTTTCAATTCTTTTTTTATAACAAAAAAACCCACAATGTTTTAAACAATATTTTTTTTGCGGAGTCCTGAGCTATATTCTCTTCTACTGAAAAAGTAATATTCCCTTAACTAAGAGAAAATTAATTGACTGATAAACCTGGTTTAGCTATGTCAAATAAAGCCCTGGTATATTTGTAGAATCCCCTTTGTGATATCCCCTATATTTGTAGAATCCCCTACCATTAATGATGTTTTAGATGTCATTCACAACATTACCTAACTATATGATTAGTTGTTCTTTGCTATCCAATTCTAATATTATGGAGAAAGTCTTGTTTCTCAAACTATGTGTTCAGCTAGATTTATGCCCATTTATCTGTGATGAAACATACTTCTGACTAGACATGCCTTAGATTAAAATAGTAATATACATCAACAGTTTCTCTTTTAAGTTATATATCAATATTATCAATTCTCTTAATTTATGGGTCCAATTAAAACTAGTAATGACCACTTATGTTCCCACAGCATTCCCCGTGGCCCTGCTTTCCAAACTCACTTCACTTGGCTGTTCTTTTCATCCTGAGGGGGCCTGCTGAAAATCACTTTCCCTGGTAGGGCTCATGGGACTGGATGTACTATGGCTTCCCTGTAGGTTCAGACAGTTCCTTCCCTTCTTCTATTCTAGAAGATCATTAAGAACTTCCTATTCCATCAGGTTTTGAATTGATTGGTAATGGGTGTTTATCTGTATATATGTTTTTATATTTTGTGACCTGTAAGAATGTAAAATGTTTTTGTTATATTATTTTTTTTCTCAGATTTTTCTTTGTTGTACACTACACAGAACAAAGTGAGGGAACATTAATAAATAAGGTAAATAAACGAATGCCAGAGAACAAACCCATTCTGTAATCTCGCTTAATGACTACAACAAATAACAACAACAGTTACTTGGAATTTTGGTCATAAGTTGAAAAATACCTGTATTTATCAAGGAGTATGATGAGGCTACTTGGAAAGGCAGTCTTGGAAATAAAAGATTATGCCGGTAAGTTTTACATAGAATATAAAGAATGTACAAGCTTCCCATTTTTTAAAATTAAAAGAAAAATGAAAAAGGGAGATCTGCAGAGACCCAGCTGGTAATGGGTGTGCTGGTACTGGTACTTCTGGGCATCAGGTTGGAGACTATGCTAATCTGTGTTAATATTTGAGGTGCATGAGACTTTCTGCTTTATTTAATGTTATATATTTTTAAAACCAGAAACCTAGTTTGACACAGAATGCTTTAATTCTGAATGCAGCTACCTCAATGTTATTATACTTATTATATAGTAGCTCAAACATTCTATCAAGGAAGTACATCAATTTGACTGGTGCATTTTAGATTGAAATACACTGTAGTACTAGTATACATTAACCCCTAGCGGGTGATAGAATAAAAATTAAATGAACTCCCTGTGACTATGAATAAGTGTCCATGGATACTGAGATGACAAAAAATATGCACATAGAAGCCAGACCGGGAATAAAGTCTAGAGGCACAAACATCAATAACAATAGCTAGAATGGCACTGAAAATGATTAGCCACTTACGGATTATCAATTTCCTCATGTAGAACGTTCAGAGTATAATACTCTTGGCCCTGAAAATAGTAGCCATGGAGGTATTCAGTGAGACTCTTTCTCCAGCTGACATACATCAGATTGCAGATAAACTGGTCTAAACTCTTCAGCTGACAAGAGAGAGAGAGAGAGAGAGAGAGCGCACTGAAGATCAAACATGGGGAGATACAACATTTAAAAGGAACTGTTTGGAAGTCGGGTGAGCAAATAGCCACATTTTCTGAAGCAGACTGAAATGTTCTTTTTATTCTGATCCAATGGACGGTTGGGAAGAAATTATGTAAAAGAGTTGGGACCCGATTTGCTTGTTTGTTAGCATACTTTAAAAACTGAACAGACAGGACCAAATTTGGGATACAGAAAGAAACCTGTAAAAGAAAAATCAGGTTTTAAAAAATGGACGTATAAAGCCAAGTTGTGGAGAAAAACTATCCAGAAAAATCTCCTACTGGATATCTGTGAAGAGAAGCAGGTGGACACAGCTCCTCCTAAGCCCCAGAAATCATATAATAGACAGAATATACGACCATCTCATGGTTTCTGCTGCATGCATAGACACACATGTAAGGCCCTGGGTAGTAAAGTGTAGGAAAAATATGAGAAGCCATGCGATGTATATTTTACTTCCCTTGTTTTAGAAGCCAGTTACAGCTTTAAGCAACTCCAGCCTTAGTAACTTTTCTGAGTAATTTAAAAACAAAATACAAATGTACACTTTGGGACTCTACAATTCTTTCCAAAAGTTGTGGGAAAAGTCTTCGAACCTTGAGTTAGGCTAAAATGGATTTGAACATTCTTTTTATCTTGGACAAAGGACTAACAGCATTAGGAATATTCATTAATTGCTGAATGCATATTCAACTCATTCTTTTGGTCAACTTGCAACATGTCAGATTTAATCCGGTGCATATTATAGAACAAATGCAGCCAAGGAACTTTTTTTGTATATTTCTGTCTAATTTATATAAGGAGTAACATAAACCTGAAAGCAACACATCCCAATTTGGGTCTGTACATATCTATGTCTACACCTATTCAGGCACACTAGTCTCATTCTCTTCCCTTTTTGGTAGATTGGCCCTTGCAGTATAACATATTAGAGTGCAGAGCTGAGATTTTTTTAAAAAAAAATATTTATACCAGTTTGCATGCCACTAACATCATACTTACAATTCATGTTATCTTTGATCATAGATATGTACCTTTAACACATCATTCAAGCGATGCAACAGTATAAAATATATGTGCCATATATGACAGATCACAACACCAAAGATTGACAATCATGGGAGGTGTTCTGAGTTATGCTCAAGGCAACTGATTTGCAATTATGTATGTTGCTCATACAGATCAATTTTCATTATAGTTAGTGGTCTAGATTAAGTAGATATTAATATGGAGAATGATTTGTAGTGATCTTTCATCTATCAACATATTGAAATAATTGACTGCGTTATGCTGTTTGAAATTTAGGATGAACACTTGTAGAGTAAGCCTATATGAGAAGGAAGATGCAAAGGACCTGACTAAGGATACATAAAGCCTATATTTCTCTGCTGCTCTCTAGTGGTCATCTGGCTTTCTGCAGCCTATGTATATGTATGTTCTAGTTTGGGTTTTTTTATTTTATTAAAATTTTATTATTTTACTAGCTCTATATCCATGCTTTGCTATGAAACTATGTAAGTTTAATTTTTGGGGAGGAAAATAAGGGGGAAAATTGTGTGCCTCTGCCTACCAGCATCCATCGGTATTCATCTGGCTAGTGTCCTGTCAGTGTGTCAGAGAGTTGAGGGTTGTTTGGAAACTGAAACATAGAAACTGAAACAGTATTTGCTGTGTGAGCAAGGAGACAGCAAGGAGCCTGGGTATGGCTTAGCTCAACTGTTCTGTACTAAAGCTGCTTGGTGCTGTAGAAACTAAAACTGAAACTCCTCTCCTCTGCTGGTATTTTGCATTTGGAACAGATTTATTTTCAGGTGGGGAGGGGGAGTAGAACTCCTTAGCATCAGAGCATGTTAATAATAATATAGGAAATACTAACGCTCTAATGGTCATTTTGAAAAATCCTTTCTTAGTGAGCATCTAGGAACAGGAACATACGTGCCAAATTTCAAGTTTGTAGGCTTTACAGTTCTGGAGATGTTGTGATGATGTGTGACTGGTATTTTGCTTTTATATATAGATAGATAGATAGATAAATGAAATTAACAGACCCTCCACCCCAATATCAATGATAATAAAAAAAAAATAGTAAACTTCAAAGAAGCAAAAGCAGATCCAGGTAATATCTCAATGAAAAATAATAATATATACCAAACTGCATTTTTATCATGTCACTGAATTTAGATTATATAAAAGAGTAATGCTCCATTTTCTCATTCCTGCAATATATAGACATTTCAAAGATTGCCAGAATGCCCATGTCTTGAAACCATTCTTTAACTTCTAAAATAACACTTTATTTGTGTATTCCAATTGTGTTCCCAACCTTTCCCTCCCCTCATAAGAAAAAAAATTATCTCACCAAAGAGTTGAGTATAATGAGAATCAGAGCAACTGCTGTCATCTTATTGAACTCATAAAGATCTTTCCTTCCCAGAACTGAGAAATATTGACTGGGAATCAGTCCCACCTGGTAAATGATCAGTTGAGCTAGGAGAGATAGGAGAAATATTTTTAAAAGCATAAGCTCCAAAGGTGTATCAGTAAAAAGAGAGACTAATCCTGCATCATGGCAAAAAGAAACATACAAAATTATTTGTCTTAGAAAATTGTTTGCTTACTCAACAAAGCAACTACAAGCAAGGTTAGAAACATCAGCACATTCTTAGAAGTGAAGGTAGGAAATAATATTGTTTGGATCTTTAGGAATCGATGGAGGAATTGGCGATCCAGCTGGGGCCTAGAAGAAAGATAAAAAGACAAGAAAAGTTATAAAGCTGAACTGCTAACATGGAAATGTCACTGCTAAACCCTCCATTCCACTCAGTGCATGCTTAAACCGATTGATATTTTGAAGAGAAAAAAAAGTCTCACTAGAACAATAATAGAAGGGTCCCAGATATCTCGGCAAGTGTAAGCCCCCTGGGACTAATGTCTAAATTTTACGTCAACCCTGGGCACAGAATATGTAGAATAGCTGCACTTTTGTTTCAGATGTACATTATGTAGAACTGCATCCCCCCAACCTTTTTGGGGACCAGGGACCAGTTCTGTGGGAGAAAGTGTTTTCTGTGGACCAGAAGGGGCATGGTTTCACATGTTGCTTGCATCTCATGGATGGGGCTTCACTTGTTTGCACGGCCTGGTTTCTGGTATGGTGCGGCCCAGTGCCATTGGTGACCCCTAATATAGAACACTGTCAGCAATATGGAGATCGAATCCCACCAGGCTCAAGGTTGACTCAGCCTTCCATCCTTCCAAGGTCGGTAAAACGAGGACCCAGATTGTTGGGGGCAATATGCTGACTCTGTAAACCACTTAGAGAGGGCTGTAAAGCACTGTGAAGCTGTATATAAGTCTAAGTTATTTCAAGTGGTGGTGGTCACTGTCTATCCCACATTGTTCTATCTTGCCAAGAAGTAGGCTGTGATCTACTTTTTCAAATGCCTTGATTTAGTCCAAGTAAACCATATCATCAGGATTTCCCTCATGCACTCACTTTATCAAAAAAAGCAACATAAAGTTTGAAAAACACTGAATTCTATGAATAGGCAGCATGTAAAAAGTTATACATACCTATCACGACATCCCCTTTTGAGGTATGCAGAGTTATATGAAACTCAGAAAAAGAGTACAGTGTTTCTTAAGGCTAATCTTAAACTTATTATTTTCTTTGCTCTTTTTGAACTGTAGTGTCTACTATTGAAATCCACCATTGCCTCTTACCCCACCCCACCCTTCTCAGCCCTGGAATCCTAACAACAGGTCTCGGTTCATAAAGAGCTCCAACACAGTGGCTCCCTTTTCCGTACTCGATTGTGGACAATATAAAGCACTTACCGGACAGTTTTCCTAGCTGTTTTCCCTGGAGCCATGAACGAACTGCCCTTCCTTGCAAAAAGAAAGAAAGAAAAAGCAAAAGGGCTCCCCAGTGTCCACTCGGGATCGCGCTATAGAGGAAGACTTGTAAGTCTTTCAAGGCTTCGATTCTAGTCCCACCCCATCCAGGGATTTTGATGAGTATTCATTATTTCTTTGGACTGTTCATTAGCAAGTCAGAAATAGCGATTATAGTGGTGTCATCACTGAAAAAACGAGTTGTGAGCACACCGTTACTAAAAGCTACAGAAAAAGACGGCCGAGACGGCCAAATACCCATATCCGAGTTATTTTAGTGGGAACAACCAAAGAACTAGAGGACAGCATTCGCCCAACTCTCATTTTCGGTCTGTATCGCTAAGAGTAATGTTTTACGACCGTCTTCATGGATTTAATATATACTTCCGGTCCCGCATTACAGTTCAAGTCCTTCGAGGGTTGAAGAGTGGCGGAAATGCTTCAGTTAGCATTGCTTGAATGACGAAAGGCGTGCCCTGAAATGTAGTCTACAAAAACCTATGTATAAACACAAATGCTTTAGTCTTTTTTTTTTTCTCCTTTACTGCAACAGATTAGCAATTGCTTCCTGTGAAAATTTGCCTTAGGAAAAACTAGAAGCGAGCTTCCAAAATAAATGTACATTAATGAACAAAGTTGCTTTTAACTTCGTGATTTTATTCTCCTTTTCCGCACGAATAGATTATGACAAAACGTCCCCAAAATATCCTTAACTCCATTAACCGAAATAAACGAAGAAGCACATTTCTGCAGCAGCGTCTTTGTGTGTGTGTTGTGGGGAGGGGGGGGGGGAGAATAAAGACCAAACTACTAAAGCGTTGGAGCCCAGATTTTTTAAAAATAATGTGTTCTTTCACCAAGTTTTATGCATTTCTACCTCTCTTGCCCCTCAAATGGAAGATATTTCCCATCCTAAAGGGAACCGGAAATGAGGCTCTTGCAAGTCTTACATAGGTCTGTTTTCAGAGAAGAGGAAAATAGAGCTCCTTCTACCGGACTAGTTGTGTAAGGATAGTGTAAAATGCAAAGTCCAAGATCCAAACTTTTTCATTTATTTTGTAGACATTTAACACTCTCACGTTTTCTTACATAAGAGCTTAATACTTAATAACCCTGTTGAATAAGATTAAAGCCCCGTTCTATAGCTCTTAGTGGCCAGTGGGCAATTCTCGCTTTCATAGATATAATAACATGCTAGAGTCAGATGAGTAGAAGTTAAATAGCTTTAACTTATATCTATGACAGTTTGATGGTCTGGTGGCTTATTAGCTTGTTAATAAATAATTAGAGGTTTTTGTAATCTATGAATTAACGTTAGCCAAATTTATAAGTTGTGCCTTTACCTGATAGAAATGACACTTCTTTAACACCTGGAAGGGGAAGAGGGGGAGCTTGAATGGTTGACTACAAACACTTCACAGACTGACCACAAACATTTCTTATATAGCCTAGCTAACAGGTTGTGGCTTTGACACTTGGTTCTAGGATATCTTGAGCCATCAAGGAAGGTGACATGATATTTAGCTGAAGCAGAAGTTAGGAGTGTCCATACAAGTGTCTTAGAGGTAAGCAAAGTTCATCATTAGTGTAGAGAAAAACACATTCAGAGGCTTAAATGATAATGAAGCAAAATTAAATAATGAAGTATTATGGGACGGCTTTGTGTGCATGTGTAACTATCATGTAACTTTGTAACTAATTAGCAATTCTTTTTTATTTCTTGTAATTGTATAAAAATAACTCTGCCTGATTCTGGTGCTCTCCTTGAGTATGAAAGCCAGAGGCATCCTTTTCTGTAGAGTTTTGTCTTTCCTTGATCCTGTATGCACATTGGTTTTTCGCACTGAGTACAGGAACTAGGTTTTCTGGTGAACAATAGCAGCTTCTGTTTAAGCTATTTAAACCAGTGACTCTAGAGGTAGCACTCTAAATAGCTATTAGTGCTATAGAAGCCACTCTGAAATAAAATGGGCTAATATTTTGTTGGAAGAAATATCCTTCTGGGTTCAGTTCCAAGTGGGGAAAAAGACACTGGAAACATGGAAGCAGCTTGGAAAGATGGTTTATTGATGAACAGGATAGGTTCCTGGGCAGAAAAGGGAAGAGATGCTGAGAGTACCTGGGTTTTATGCCCTCTGCTGGGCTTTGAATTTGAGCTTGTGTTCTGATTGGTTGTCAGACTCCCATAAAGCCATGCGGGGTAACTTTGTAGGTTGTCTTTTGAGTCCCAGGCTTGGTTGATTCTTGCTGGGTGATGATGTAATGAAAGGGCTTTTGGAAATTCCTATTATGGCTCTGCTTGAAGGAAGTAGATCTTTGTTATATAGAATAGATTGGCCCAGGCCTTAATGGCCTATTAACAAAGGTGGGCGGGCTGAGTTTCTGCCTCTCTGAGTTTCTACTTCTCTTTTAGGGGAAATATTCTGCCTTTTTAGTATATCCTAAAATATTTCATTTTCCTAGGAGAGGTGGGTTTTAACTTCCAAAAATTTCATATTAGAAGAGCATAATTTGCGAGGAATCAGTAACCTTATTTACGAACTTTCTAATATTGTGCCTTCAATAACCTCCCAGCAGGTAAGAATCATGTGGAACAAGTTGCAAAATCAGCTTTACAGACAGACAGCCAAATCAAATAACTAACAAGTTATATAGAACTAGAAGGTCCCACAAAATTCAAAACTTTCATGGAAATTCCGCCCCATTATTTGCTTCAGACAAAAATCTGTTTCAGAAATGGGCCTGAATTTTTTAAAAAAACTTTATGAATCACACAGAAGAAGAGAACTGGAGAGCTTTAAAATATACATTCTCCAATTCTCCATTCACCATTTATTTATTAACTTTATTGGCCAGTCATATTATCATAGGGTAATTTAAAATGTTAAAAAGATAAACTACTACAAAAATACAATACACAACCCTAGCTAAAAGATGGAGAGGGAAGGAATAAGATAAACAGGGTGGAGGTAGGATCTGTTATTAATCACCCCTAATGTGAGACTCCTCCTTTGGAGCCCCAAACCAACTGGCAGATCTGGGTTTTTAAGCTTTTGTGGAAGGTCAGGAGGGTTGGAGCCTGAGGTGGTATTCAGCAGGTTCTACCAGTTCTGGAGAACCGGTAGCGGAAATTTTGAGTAGTTTGGAAAACCGGCAAATGCCACCTCTGACTGGAGATTTTACAGTATCCTTCCCCTGCCATGCCCATCAAGTCACGCCCACAGAACTGGTAGTAAAAAAAATTGAATCCCACCACTCCAGGGAGACAAAATGTTCCAAAAAGCAGGAGCAACAGCAGAATAGGTTCTTTTCCTGGACCCCATCATCCAGAAGATTCAGGCTGATGGGGCTTGCAGCATGTTTCCTCTGCAGGGGTGGGATGGGCCAATCCCAACGGGATGAGACGGTCCCTCAAGTAGCCTGGACCCATGCCATAAAGGACTTTAAAGGTGATTACCAAGACCTTGAATTGCACCCAGAAGCAAACTGGAAGCTAGTGCAGCTGACAGAACAGTGATGTTACCTGGGCTACTCTTGGGGCCCTCAAAAACCGCCTGTGCTGCTGTTCTCTGCACCAGTTGTAGCTTCCAAATGCTCTTCAAGGGTAGCCCCATGTAGTGCCTTTTGCAATAGTCCAAATGTGAAATGACTGGGTCCTAGGACTTGAATGACTGCGTCCAGGGACTTCTAACCTAGGAGAGGCCACAACTGGTGCACAACTTGAAATTGTGCAAAGCAGTGGCGGGATTCAATTTTTTTTTACTACTGGTTCTGTGGGCGTGGCTTGGTGGGCGTGGCAGGGGAAGGATACTGTAATATCTCCCGTCAGAGGTGGTATTTGCCAGTTTTCTGAACTACTTAAAATTTCCGCTACGGGTTCTCCAGAACTGGTCAGAACCTGCTGAATATCACCTCTGGTGCAAAGGCTCTCGTAGTTGTGACTGCTGCTTTCTTTTTGATATTTTCTGATATCCCTTCTTGATAAAAAAAAATAGATTCCAGAATATAGTTCAGAATTGTGTTCAGTATTCAAGATTTTGCAGATGTTCTTTATCTGCATACTTGTGGATTTGTGGAAAGTCTCAGCCCCAGAAACTAATGGAATGTAATTGTTTGGTACCTTTGAATCAGTATTGACTCCTGGCACTTATACAGACAAGTCCATGAATTATTTTAGTAAAAATATTTGAAAATAGGTTGCCATTGCATTCTCCTTAGGGTTAAGAGCGACTGGTGCAAAGTTTATGGCTAAAAGGACTAGAACGTGCATCCTCAGTGCCTTTAACCATTGCAAGTATGCCTGATGTTTGTCATTTTGATTTAATTATCTTAGTTTGAAACAACTTTCAACTGCTGTTATTGCTAATTTTTGCTCCTCTTGCAAGATCAGACAGAGTCAACATTAAGGTATGCGATCTGATGGAACCCAAAGGAGTATCTTCTTTGTTGTGGCACCTGCCTCCTGGAACAGTATCCTTCCAAAGACTTGAATAGCCATACCTCTCCTTTTTTTAAACATTCTTTGAAGGCAAGCTTTTTAAAAAATTTACAGTAATATGTGAGCTCCTTCTGTGAAAGGTTTTACATATTTTAATGGCTGACCATCTTCCTCTTCTGTCCTGTTTGATGTTTTGTATTTTTGTTTTTAATTCTGCCTCAGAAATGTGAATTATGAATGAATGAATGAATAAATAAATAAACAAATAAATGCTATTATCTTATTTAGTAGTATTAGATTCTAAGGGGAATTTTACATGCTGCACAAATACTATTTTGTTCTTGCTATTCTTTTGAAGTATGGTTCTCATTTGATAACACAACCTGAAATACTTTATCTTTGGATATGAATCATTTCACAAGGAGAACAATAGTACCATTAAAGAAAAATGTGCATAGTTGATGTCTGCTTTAATCTCTGTATAGCATGTGGAACACTTTGAAGAGAAAAAGACTGTATAACAAACCACTACTTACATATCATTTTTACTTTAGTGTCTAGGCCTCCAGCCTTCTCTGTCCACTACCTCTGGTAGTGTTTAGAAGTAAATTATCCAAGTGGCTCTAATGTAACAGCATTAGTGTTTTGTCAAAACAAAATCATGGTCTCCTGATAATGTGCTTTGTATTTATAATTACTGGCACATCATGAGTCCATGGCATACTGATAAACATTCAGTTGAAAGTAAATTCCCAGCAATATGCAAGATTGAATGACTTCCTCGCTTCTTGGCAAGTTTTCCTCCCTGATGTTCTGCTGCTCCCACCCTATCCCTACTTCTTTTGACATAGCTATGCCAATGAACACTTCTAATGTTTTCTAATGTAGAGCTGCATATTCTGTTTGGGCT